TTAAAATCTATGAAATCAAACATGAAATAAAGAATATCATATTGTCTTATCATACAACTTTGTCATAAAACGCATGCCCCCCCCCCAAAACAAAAACTGACTCAGCATTTGGTTCACTCTTTTGGGGGTTCAAATTATTAACTGAAGTTATAACCTGAATTCTATTACATATAAGATAAAACAAACTGAAAATATAAATTTTCATTTTACCAAGATAAAGTCCCAATCTTGGTTTCCTTCTCTTCTACTTATGAAATTTTGTTCTGTGGATTCACTTTCAGTGGTCTATTTCCAGAACCAACTATCAGTGTTATCTCAAGGTAGTATGAATTTGTATCTACCAAATCACTTAGGATAGAGGTCTTATAACCTATCTCTGGAAAACTCACACTCATGAAATAACAAGGGATCATGATTTGAAGTCAAAACACTGTCGGCACAATGTCAATCAAATGCAAGAAGCAAACACATTCCAAAACCAGCAAGAGGTGATTTTAAAATGGCCTTCTACCACTGTAAAAAGGTTACTATGTAAAAAGGTAATCAAGACATATCAAATTTCTATTGTTTCTCTTCACTTTCTAAAACACAGTAATTATCTTGAATCTCATTTTTTTCAACACCTTCGTATACAATTATTGATAATTCTTCCTTTTATCTTTTACTGTACATTTTTTTTCCAGCTTTAAGAGACCAATTCGAAACAGGCATATCAAGGACTTAAAGCTGAATTACTAAATGATGTAATATTTATTGATACTGCCTTGTCAAAATACTTCAGGATGACTCCAAAGATTACAGTTATCATTACAATACAATCAGTCAACCAAGAAGCAGACTGAGGCTGAGAAGGGTCCTGTTCTATTAAATGAATCAGTGTTTAATCAGTGATTAAACAGCTAATAAACTTCCCTTCCAAGGCATATTAATCATTGCCCTACAATTACCTTCAGTAGCATATCTTGTGCAATGTTCTGAATGTTAAATAAGATACAAGACTGAAATATGATAAATTATACTATAAAAGTCATAACTTCAAAACTGAACAATTAAAACATAAACTATAGATCTTCTTTGGTGGCAGTTACTACATAAATACTGACAAAAAACTAAATTTGATAATCAACTTACTTCTAAAAGGCAAGCAGGAAAACAAACTTAATTTAAAGAATTTGCTAAACTTTTTTTTGAGTGGCTATTACTGACAAAAAACTAAATTTGATAATCAACTTACTTCTATAAGGCAAGCAGGAAAACAAACTTAATTTAAAGAATTTGCTAAACTTTTTTTTGAGTGGCTATAATATCACATAGTAAAGAATATTAACTTTAGAGTCAGGCTGCCTATCTTCAAATCTAAACTATGCCACCTTCTAGTTGTAAGAACCTGGGTGAGATAAAGAGTCCTCATTTTTAAAATCTGTATACTGGATATTACAGTACCTCGGCAAACTGTTGAGACTCACCAAGATCGATACCATGCAGGATCAGTATTTCCCCAAAAAGAAACTGGATGCTTGGCAGTCAAGGACCTCTGCCCTCCCCTAATGAGAGGAGAACTTCCTAAGGTCAATGTTTGAGGTTTCTTTGCATATCTGTGTGGATATAATTTTAGGTCTAAATGAAAACCAACATACTGAAGATAAGAAACAATGCGGCCCACATATATTCTCCATTTGAGTAACTGGTGCATAGTGTGCAAACAATACTAATTATTTTTAAGGAATCCCTCATTTCTGCAGTAGACTCAATTTTGGGGATATACAACAGGAAGAAACAAAATTTACCCAAGCAAGATCAGTGAAATCTTGGGTTTCAAGCTTGAGTCTTGAGTGGAGTGATATAAGGATGGAAAAAATTATTAGAACCTGTTCATTTTAGCTAGGGCGCTGATGAGACTGCCAAACAGTTCTGCTGCCTAGAAACCCTTTGAAAGTCTGACACTTGGTTCTGTGAGCTACCCAGTATCTTTTAAATTAATTTTTCTTGTAGTTTCTGTTACTTGGAACCATATAACCTTAAGTAACATTACACCTTCAGTAGATAGGTTTATATAAGAGACAATGGAGGGGAATTTCTCAAGGCTTTAAAATACCACCTCATGTTTGCAGTGTTGTACAATATTCAGAGCACTTTCACTTATTCCATTTGACCCCTGTAGTAAGCTACACTGTACATAGGAGAGGTCTGAGGTCTTATCCTTAAACAAAAGGGTTGGAGTCCAGACTAAAAACCGGCTCTGCTCAAAAGCCAGGCTATTTTCACTATCATATGATCCGAGAACAATAAACTTCAATTGCTTGTTTACCTAAATTCAACATACATGTAGCAATGTAAATGATAACTTAGTAGCACAAAATTCTAGATAGGCAAGTTACTGAGAGAGATTTTATTGTAAAAAAGCCTTTATTTGATGAATGGGGAAATTAGACCCGGGAAAATTAAGTGACTAATGTGAGAGAATAATCCACCTAAAATGGCAATAGCACAAATTTATGGTGTATCAAAATTGGATCCCATTTAAGAGAACTTGTCATCTCTCAGGTGGCCCTAAGTGGTCTGTGGGAGCTTGTAGAGGAAGCTAAAGAGGGAGCTACTTTAAAAAGTTTGTGGACAGTCAGCTTTGTACCCCATGAGTATTCATAACCAATAAAAAAAAAAGTTTGTGAAAAATGGAATTGAAGAATACAAATCATTCCATGAACTTTTTGAAGTACCCTCATATGTCCCATATTTGCCCAAGACTCCTAACCTCAAAAACTTTTCAAGGAACTCTGTGTTCCTTAACTGTCATGCCACCCTACATCTGACCTTGGCCCTGTCCTAGCCCCACAACAGCCACTCCACATATACACAAAGCTGTGAGCATCTAAGCAACGATCCCTGTTAGCCATTCAAAGATAGCTCTTTAACCAACTCTTCCCACTCCCTACTGAAATTCATTCTGTATGGCTGTCCATCTGTCCTGTGCACTTAACCATCTTACCAGTTTCTCCTAAACTCCCCACAAGGCACCAGGCCTGAGGACCAACAGCTCCCCCCACCCCTCTACAGTGATGAGCTGCAATGGGCAATCAGGTTCTTATCACGAGCTGCCAACCATTGGCTGCGCCCTGCTCCAAGCTGCATTTCTCCAAAGTCCCAAAACTCCCATATCTCTGTGTGGCCATGTCTTATGCAATTCTTGTCAAATCCTACTCAAGTAGAATTTGTGTTGCCACGCTTCTTGGAACCCAACACTCCTGTTATCTCTCCTGTGCCTGCTGGAACTGTAGTCCTATCTGATTTCCCTGAATACACGACAGAATTCCCAAAACTCCAGCCAGTTTCCCCTCTCTCGATGCTCTATTTTTTGCCTGCACTCAGAGTGTTGTAAAACCACCAAGGCTGGTAAATTCGAAGAACCAACACAGCCCACATTCATTCTCCCTTTGAGTAACTGGTGCATACCATGCAAACAATATCAATTATTTTTAAGGAACCCCTCATTTCTGCAGCAAACTCAATTTTTGTGCTGCACATCACAAAGAAACAAAATTATGACAGATTCCATTTCTCTAGGGTACTGAAAAGAGTCTCTGAAGTTTTTGTTTTGGTAAAAGGCCTGGCAGATTTCACTGACAAATCCTGCAATTTAAAGCAAGTTTGTTTTTTCTTCCAATGTTTGAGTGACAACAGAACTGCAAAAGCAAACTTCACTCCATTTTTCTCATCCCAGCAGGACAACTGCTCCCCAGGAAAGGAATTATCATCATGAATCAACTGTAAAACACACAACCATTTTAACTGATTGAAAGAGGTAGCATTCATGCTGAAATGCGAGGTCACCCTGGACACTTGAAATGGAAGAATACAAAGAGAAAGCTGAGGCCGACCCCAGTTCACGTTTTAAAAGATTCATAGCAGAGAGTGAACAAATGGGAAGATTCCCAAATGCCAATGTTTGAGGTTTCTTTGCATATCTAGGTGGATATAATTTTAGGTCTATATGAAAACCAACATACTGAAGATAAGAAACAAATTAATCAACTCTAAAACCTAAAGATAACAGCAATCCACTTGGACTTATGTGATACAGCATTTTCTTGTGAACATTCTCATTATTTACAAGTTTAAAAATTATCTATATTGCTTACTTTATAACAAGAAAAATTTATCCTAGTCCAAAGCTCATAATCATTTAAATGAAGACAATTTAAAGACAATTTCAGTTTATGTTTTGTATAGTGGTAAAGTAATATAGGACTCCAACCCCATGAAATCAATGGGATTCAAAGTTACCATAGCTCAAAATATCTTACAGACTCTGAACCACACTCTGCATTTGTTCTGTTCTTTTTAAAAAATCTTTTCTTAATTCCCATGAAATCAATGGGATTCAAAGTTACCATAGCTCAAAATACCTTACAGACTCTGAACCACACTCTGCATTTGTTCTGTTCTTTTTAAAAAATCTTTTCTTAATGACTCGTGAAACCATGCCTTTTTTCATCTTGAATAGACCTTAACAACCAGATCATAGTCAGTTCCTTTATTTTAGAAATGAAGAAATCAAAACTTAGAGAGATCAAGTGGACTTAAAATTCAACATCAAGTACATTATTTAGAGTTTGAAAATAATATCACAGCACACACATGTTGAACCTTACTCCCCTTCTCCAATCTCTCAGGGATTCAGGCTATATATTTATTGGCCAAAGTTTAGCCAGGAAAAAGGATGATCGTGATGCACAAATACTGAAATACCAAAGTTGATAGCTCACATAATACCCATTGGTTACATCACAAACCTCTCAGGTCTGGGTTAAGTTAATTAACTGCCACTTTAAAGATATTTTAAAATAATGTAAAAGTTAGCACTTTTCTGAGTTGATTGAAGTCCTCTAGCAATATCTAGGAAAATGACCATTCGTAGTTCCATGCGATGCCAATAATTCTGCAGATCACATACAACATAACACAACTATTTTAAGCTTGATTGTTGAGCAAAGTGAACGTACCTCCCAGCCTTCAATGTGCGACTGCCATTCTTCCAAAACTTCTAATTTCTCCATCTGTCTCTTGGCCTCGTTGATGTTGGAACAGACGGCTTTCATGGCTTGGAGAGCTTCCATCACTGCTGCATAGTCACTGTGTTTCCGTGGAGTCCGCTTCAACAATTCCTGTTTATACACACACACAAAAAAATCGCCCTTTGATCTTCAGCTTTCTGGTACAGCAGGTTCAGACTGACCAGGAAATGAAAATTGCAAAGATCGTGAGAGCCACTTTCACAAGTGCCATCACGAACGCCACTAAGATTATGATCAAAAACAAAAGGTTGAATCAATGAACGAGTGTTACCCTGTGCACATTTTGCAGCCACTTTAACTTTTCCATCAAACTTTTGTTTTCAAAAACTAAGTTAGGTATCTCCTTCAAATCATCAACTATTTCACTGGGAGCTTGTCAAAAATATATATATGCATATATGTATGTATGTATGTTTGCCTCTTGCTCTAACAAAAGCACATTTTTATATCTAAACTTTATTTCCCTAGAGCCTTTAACAGAAAAATAAATCTTCAAATGGATATGTCCCATAATTTAAAAACTAATTTAAATGCCACATTTTCTAGCATTTTTTGAGAAACTATAAAAACAGGTCATAAAGAAAGCTAAAATTTTAAATAATTCTTTTACTCCAGCAAAATAATTTATAAAATCTAGAATACTCCATCATCAAAGGAGCAATTTATGCTGTTTTCCCCAATTAACTCAGGTTCATTCTCATGATGAATGAACTGCCATGTACCCCCTCAACAGCTTCCTTTTTTGTTTTTAGTGTTTAGGAGTTTTGGGGGCTTTTTACTTGTATTTTTTTCCATTCAGGATTTCAAAACTAGAGTAATCTTTGATCTTTTAAATATATTAAAAGGTCTTCTTAGTTGTTGTTTAGAAGCACAAAATTAAACATCTTCACCCACTGTCTAGACAGTTGTGACCACATTGCTTTTTAATTAGTCATTTGTTTCTCTACTACAGTTGCCATCATCATGTAACCAACACAATTACAGAAATCCCGAGGCAACTCTTAAAAAGAATTATCTTAATTCTCAACATACAGTGGGAAAATATGCAGTTGTTTATACTCTCTTGAGTTCTGTTATTGTTGAAAATTCTGCCATCAACTTTAACCCTGCTTTGGATATGTTCACACTCTGTTCTGTGGAGCTAACACCAGAAAAATACACATTACATCGCTCCCAGGACAAGGATTAAAAAGTTATGCTGGGTCAGAAATACATAAAAGAGATATGCAGGCAGCCTTCTCCAGAAATTCTAAAGAGGTGAATCCTCTCTAAATCGGGTAAAGTGGTCAAGTCAGCCTGCAGGCATTACATCGCTCCCAGGACAAGGATTAAAAAGTTATGCTGGGTCAGAAATACATAAAAGAGATATGCAGGCAGCCTTCTTCAGAAATTCTAAAGAGGTGAATCCTCTCTAAATCGGGTAAAGTGGTCAAGTCAGCCTGCAGGCCATAATTTGGGGCCCTATGAAATTCTGCCCAGTGGGCATCTGGAGAGTTCAGATATGAATTCAGATAATGTAAATAGCAAGAGAAATGATCAGTCAAAATCTTCTGGCAGTTACTTGCTATGAACGCTGTGTTGATTGCCCAACTCAATAGTTTCAAGTTCCACAAATATAACTGCTGTGGATTGACTGAATTATGTCACCCAAAGTCTATACATTAAAGCTTAATCTCCACTGTAACTGTTGAGGGTGGGAAATACTATTATGGTAATTGAAAGATGGAGCCTTGAAGAGGTGATTAGAATGTTGGAAAATGCCATAGTGAATGGATTAATAGTGGTGGCCACAGGCATGGTCCCAAGGGCTTAAAAAGGAGCATGTGAGAGTCTCTCTCTCTGCCCCACCATTTCTGCCACGTGAGGCCCCTAGATCACCATCGCCACCACCAAGACCCTCACCAGATGAGTTCCCTGGACTGTGGACTTCCCAGCCTCTGAAACTGTAAGCAATTAAATGTGTTTTCCTTATAAATCACCCAGTTTCAGGTATTTATGTTATAAGCGACAGAAATGGACTAATACAGTGACCAATGTATCTTTTTTCAGCACTCCAATCTAAAACACAATCTTTCAGCTGATGATACAAAGACAAACGTCAACACCACCATATCTACTACAAGAGTAAATAGTTTTTTCATGTCTCTTTGTTAAGTTAATCTTCCAAAAATGGGAAAGGATGTCATCTCTCCACTGTCTGAAGGTGCTCTGAACAGACTTCCTTCTTGCTAAGCAAGGATGTATCCATGATGTTATTATCTTTTGAGAGGTCAGTTCAAACACCTGAAGTCATCCCTAACCAGAAATGCGGAATTTGGAACAACCACTTTGGCATGCTGTGTTCTTCTTAATAAACCCATTCCTTCTTACTCTTAGAGCAAACAAATCCCCTGGGATTCTAAAGTCAGAATCAGGAATAACTGCAGTTATGAATACACATGCAGATTAAGGCACCAAGTCAGAGGTGTGTAGGTAATCTTAGAAAGACAGGAGTCACATTTGCACCAATACTCCCTACCTTCATAAGACCGTTCCAGAGCTCTACAGAGGGGGAGACACCTGTGTTAGCTTCTCTGGATGGCTTTATATGGCTTAACCAAGCAATTTTAGGTTTGCTTTTTGATGAGGAGCAAGCCTTTTCAAACATATTTTACAGATACCCAATTTAAGCAACTGACAAAAGTTTAATAAGAAACTTATTTCTAGTTCAAACTCATAATATTTATTCTTTCATCATCATTATCATCATCTCTGTATCATAAATGAAAAACTGAGGTTTTAGGAGGTTAAATACCATGCCTCAATCACACAGCTCATAAGCAGAATACTTGGGATTTGAATTTGGAGCTCATGTGCTCAACCTCTACCCCAAACTGCCTATCTTAATGTTATAGCTCCAAAAAACATAGTTTCAAAAATTGCTATTCTGACCTATTCACAAACCCTTTTAGTACGGGTAGTAGTTAGTATTTAAAATAGATTTTTCATAATAAAAATGTTGGTTACTGTAATGAGGCAACAGACCTATGACCATTATTGGGGCATTTCCTATCTTCCAGAGGGGGTGTTTTCTTAGCAATCTCATTCCACATTCTATCATTTATTGTTCCATGTAACCCACACCACTCCACTGTAGTAATGATTTAAAAACCAGGCTCAGAAATTATGCAATTTTGATGTTAATTTCATTAGCATCATGAAGTCACCAAATTTTGGAGAAACCAAAAAGTATACCAACAGTGGATTTATTTAAAATAAAGAGCCCCACAGATAAAATGTTATATAAACTGATCATAATGGACTTAATGGGATCTATCTTTAAACTAATGCATTTCCTCTGAATGAAACTCAAACAAGTATGTTTTCTGCAATGAGCACTAAAAGCCTCTTTTAGTGGCTTTTCTACCAAAGATTTGTTTCCTACCCTGTATATAAATTTGTGACAAAATAGCCAATTTTTCCCAGTAATAATAGTCTGCCCTTTCTTTAGAGTGTTAGATTCTTTAAAAGAGAATTTTTAATAAAGATCATCAGCAAAATACACAGGTACAAGGAAAATGTTATAATGAGCAGCCCATGAAATACCTTCAAGATGAGAGGGTACTTGCATATTCTTTGTATCGGTGTTACTAAATAGCCTTCCAAGGGGACATCTGTGTTCTTCCGTCCTCCAAGCAGCATGCAGTTCTGGGGTGAAAATTAACATAATTAATTACATTTTTTAAATCTGATGCTTTGAAACTTTCTTATACCATAAAATTTTATGCTTAAAACTTGTGAAAGCATGTCTTCATATCCCTTCTTGCTCTAAGAAGAGCATATCCAGTCACAAATAACATTCACAGAGAGACAAGAGGAAATAATTTGGCCATTCACATTAGTTACAGAACCCAAAATGTGTTTTGAATCTCTATCTTAAAACTTTAGTCACATATATTCTCCTGAATATGAAGTCTAAGGAGAAAGAAATAGATAAATAGATGATAGACAGACAGACAGATAGATAGATATAGGGGAATGAATGAATGGACAGACTGATGGATAGATGGATGAATGGGTGGATAGAAAAATGATAGCCAGATGATAGACAGATGATAGGTAGATTTTTGCTTATAAAGAGAAGTGCACTGTGTCGTAGAAGAGCAAGTATAAAGACAATTAGGTTCTAACTCAGGCTCAGTCACTGACTAGAAATGCAACTTGAACTGATTTCAGAATTCTAGTTTTCCTTCCTATAAACCTGGCAGGTTTTAACCAAGTGATCTCTAGTCACTTTTTGCTAACAAACTTCACAGAAGACACTGGCCAGCCAGAGTCAGAGAAGGAAGTCAGACAGGATCTCCACAGAAGCAAGGTGAATGGAGATATCTCAAAATCAGCAATCAGACTGAGGTAAAATTGAAGCGGTTTCCCTTGACCATAAACTGGTGGTCAAGATAAAACCGACTCTGATAAATAAAGCCTTGATCCTTCTAAGCAACAATGCAAAGAAACAGACTTGGAACTTGCTGACACCTTATTTCTGCAGTGCTTATCAGAGTGACTGGCATAGAGGAAGTACTTAATAAATATCTAACCAAGTAAGAAGAGGGCCCCCAAATGTCAAATGGATAAGTTAGCACATTTCATACCACGATTTTAAAAATATTGCTTCGTATTCATTGAGAGGAGAGGCTTAGTGCCGAGCAGGAAAGGATGCGAAAGAAGATCAACAGTAGCAAAATGATCCTCCACTGTCCTGAGTAACTCAGCCTCAGCCCCAATTTGTGCATCCAGGTTAGCAAAACCACAGCCATGAATGTAACTTCACACAGACACCTCAGAAGGCAGAGCTGCAAACACATGTTCTTACCCAAGCATGCTCTTTGGGGGCTTCAACCCCTACTGCAATCAGGTTATCAAAATATTCTTTCAAACTATGTATGGTATCTTCCCTCAGAGAAATCCTATAAAACACAACTGTCTACAGCTTATGTTCCCAGTGATGTTTCAATATCGCAGTATGAGTTAGCACCCCTATAAAAGGGGTCACCTCCTTACCTAGCTCTAGGCTAAAGTGCCCTAAAAGAACTTATGACTATCTAACCCACTTTAATTTCCTTGTCTACTAGTGCAGTATAGATTGTGAACTTTCTTCATCATAGCAGAGGTTGGTCACTTTAGACTGGCTTATGAGACTCAGCTCTCTCCTTGTGTATACCTAAAGAATATGTTTTCTAAATAAATTTCCCAGAGATTTCACCAATCATAAAAACTTATCAAGATAGCAGCACAATCAAGGGCCCCAAATAATAATACTATCATCACCCCAAAACTGTAAACTTATATGTTTTTCAAAGGGTGATTATTATTATTCCCATTTTATGGGTAAGGAAATGACAGCAGAGAGATAATGAATGTCTTAAAGTCACCCAGATAATTTGTGGCCAGTTAGTACCAGAGCAAGAGGTGTGGGCACCAGGTTGTATCCAGCAGATTATGCTGCAGGATCATCTAAAACCTGCATTCTGGGCTTGTGACTTCCTCAGTGTGGCTCCATGCAATTTGCTAGGCAAACCAGACTAAGGTAAACCCCAAAGCAACAGTGCTGGGAACAGAATGCACTAGATAAGACAAGAGAGTTTATAAAGAACCCTAAAATTCCAGCAGGGCTGCTTCTGGCTGTGGCAGAAGAAGAGATTAGTAAATCCTCTTCCTAAAAAACAACCATAATCCTGGGCAAAATTGTCAAATACAACAATTTTGGAGCTCCAGGAATCAACTCACGTCAAACAACAAATTGAGAAATATTTACAAAAAACTGCTGAACTTTAGGCAAAAACAGCAGGAGTCTATGGCATTCTTGCCTAGACTTCTCCTGTCCCCGTGATCCCCCTCACCTGCCCCCCAGTTCATCTTTCGTGGTGCCACTGTCATGGTAGCAGAAAACCTGCGGCCAGAAGGGACTACATAGTGCAAAAATCCCAGGCCCAGTGGCATTATCAATAAAATTTGCACGCTCCATAAGAAAAGCAGGGAATTCCCACAATTCTAGCCTGATATTACAGTCCTACTTAAGATAAGTGGCAGACTGCTAGATTAGCCAGAATTTTAACTGGGATAACCTGGAGAGATATAGAGAGCTTAGAGAAACTCTGCATTTATTTCTGGCTCACTGAGAAGCTATGTGCACAGGCAGGAAAGACCTAAAAGGGCCGCATGAGAAGAAAAATCCAGATCTGACTTGAAAATTACCTGACCTTTGAATGTATCCCCACCCACACTCACACAGATCCATGAACAAGACACATAATGATGTTTGAGTACCTCTGACAAATCACTGACTGACCACTAAGCTAAGCAGTCAGAGGAGCAATCCCTAAAAAGCTAGGCTAGATTATAAAAATAAAAACCTGAGCAGAGATACCATCGCTGCACATACAAGACAGACAGTTTCTCAGATTAAGTCCCGGCAAGTTATTAAAAACAAAACAGAACAAAAAAATAAAATCAACAACAATAACCAACCTCAGGGAGAAAATACCAGAATCCAGAGTTGCTACACACATTATTTGAAATGTCCAGTTTTCAATAAAAAATGAGATATGCAAAGGAACAGGAAAATGTGACTCATATGCAGTCAATAGAAACTAAGTCTGACTGTACCCAAATGTTGGATTTAGCAAACAAAGTACATTATTTAAAATGTCCAGTTTTCAATAAAAAATGAGATATGCAAAGGAACAGGAAAATGTGATTCATATGCAGTCAATAGAAACTAAGTCTGACTGTACCCAAATGTTGGATTTAGCAAACAAAGACTTCAAAATAGCTACTATAAATACATTCAAAGAATTTTTTAAATCCTGTTGAAGACTTAAAGGACAATATGCTAATAGTGAATGAATAAAAAGTAGAAAATCTCAACAGAAAAATATAAACCATAAAGTCAAATTGAATAGACATGAGATGAAATAAGTAATTCTCAGATTTGAGGTAGGCTAGACAGGAGATTTGAGATGGCATAAAAAGTAATCAGTTGAACTGAAGATAAATCAGTAGACTTCATCCAATCTGAAGAACAGGGAAGAAACAAAGACTGTAAAAAATGAGAAGAGCATCAGGAACCAGGAGGAAGCATTAAGCTTACCAACACATGTGTAATGGGAGTCACTAAAGAAGAGAACAAAAGGGTCAGATACCTGTAAATTCTTTTTTAAATAATGACTAAAAACTTTCCAAATTTGAAGAAAAACATTTAACTATAAATACAAAAAGCTCTAGTACAAGTAAGAAAAGCACAATCATATCTACATGTAAACACATCATAGTTGAACTATTGGAACACAAAGACAAAGGGAAAATCTTGAAAGCAGCAAGAAAAGAATAACTCAGCATGTGAAGTGTAACAACAATGCAGTTAAAGATGCCTTCCCATAAGAAACAGTGGAAACCATAAGGCAGTGAAATGACATATTCAAAGTGCAGAAAGGAAAAAAAAAATCTATTAATCAAGAGTTCTATATCCAACAAAACTATCCTTCAACAATGAAGGCAAAATAAAGACATTCCCAGATAAACAAAGACTAAGAG